TGATTATCTGTAGCTATAGTTTTCATCTTAGAATATAGAAATTGCCTGGCATTTGTTTTTATAGTTTATCATCCTCAGAATAAGGGAACATTAAACCAAACCAAATCAGTGCCTGTTGAGTTGGTTCCAACTCATGACAACCCCTGTGTTGCAGAGTAGAACTACATTCCATAAGGTTTTTAAGGGTGTGAGCTTTTGGAAGCAGATCACCAGAGTTTTCTTCTGAGGTGCTTCTGGGTGGGTTTGAACCACCAACCTATCAGTTAGTAGTTGAGTGTTTAACCATTTGTGCCACCCAGGAACTCCAAGGGGACTTTGGGAATACAGAAAAATAAATAGATATGAAAGGTCATGGTAAAAATGACATGGTTATTTCCTTCTGTAACATACTCTTACCCCAGAACATAACACCTACTGTGTGATAATCATTTTCTATTTTTGTCACTCTCCAGTTATGAGGTCCAAACTTCCATATACGACCTTCCTCAATCTGGTGCCAATTTGCCTTTTTAGGCTCTTTCCTGATACTCTCTCTTACAAACCCCACACTCTAACCATACCTCCAGGCTTTGCAGGTGCTGTTTCCTTGGTCTAATTCTCTTCTACCATCCCTTTCCTGGATGAACTAACACATCAAGACTCAGCTGAAATGGCATCCAACTGCTTCATGTTGAGATGGGGGCTCTTTTTATAGCAATTTGTACATACCCCCACTATAACAGCTATCACAATACATTGCAATTTTATATGCATTTTAGTGTTTATCCAGGTTGTGATCCTTACTCTTCCGTTGTGTCCTTTCTGAAACATCAGTTGAATGTGTGAGGTGCTCAGAGAGCTTTTTCCATTCTGGCTGGGTTGGAACTTTAAAGTCTAGTAGTACTGAATATTGTTATTGCTAGGTGCCGTCAAGTCAATTTAGACTCATGGCGACCCCATGTGACAGCGTAGAACTGCCCCATAGGATTTTCTAGACTGTAATCTTTCGGGGAAGCCCTGGTGGCACAGTGGTTAAGAGCTCAGCTACTAACCAAAAGGTCAGCAGTTCAAATCCACCAGGTGCTCCTTGGAAATCCTGTGGGGCAGTTGTACTCTGTCCTATAGGGTC